AAAAGAGCAGAGATGTTTTGCCTAGTTGGATTGAGAAACCCTCGCAACGCCAATACCGTATACATTCCGTCACTGTTGCAGCTGGAAATGTTCGAACCTGTATCGATTGTCAGCAGTAGATCCCTCAAAAGCGAGCCATCAAGGGTGAACGGTGAAAAGGTGAAACCTTGCTCAAAGAGGGGTCCAGACGTAATGGAACCATCCACGACAAATTGCTGGCAACAACAACAAAAGAAAGACACTCAAGAACGATATAACCACGCCAATCATTCAATACCAGCATTCTCAAGAATAAATTAAAGAAAGCCATGTTCACCAAACAACACCCAACCAAAAAACAACAACCGCAAGGAAGTATAACTAAGAAAGATCAACCCACCCAGAGGAACAAAAGCCAACTAGAATCTTCTCTCGTCAGATCATACTTGAAATCTGTAATTTAAGAAAAAGAGAGAAAAGACCCAACCACAAGGACTAATTTACGAAGAGGAAGAAACAAACCTATCTTGAATACTTACAAGATTTAGGAAAAACTGATATTGCAGTAAAAGGTTTGACACAAGAGGAGTCTTTCATGTGCGTGGTTGACCCAAACAAAAAACGAAAGCCCTCCTGGCTAGGAACAAAATAGACCACCTAGAAGGCGCGCATGGAGAAAGGTTGGAGCAGAAGTATTGCTGTCGGCAGGAGCCACAACTTGCACGGGTGGATTGTCCTGACGCAAGACAAGCCAGAGTACAATTGCAACTACGACCGCCAAGATGATGCATGCACCGCCTACGAAAGCTCGGTTGCGAAACTGTTTTCGGTGCTCTGATCTTTGTGCTGCCTTTTGTTCCAGATCTACCGGTTGAGCTTCCATGAGACCTTCTGGGGGGTGCTCTTCTTCCTCGGGAACGGGCCTAGCTTCCACAAGACTCTCATTAGGGGGAGATGGAGCCTGAGGTGATGGTAGTGGCAGAATGCTGGATTCTGCTTCGGTATTGGCATTGACAGCCTCACGTGTGGTTCCTTGAAAAGGACCCTCGGTGGTGTGGAACAGAGGTTCTTGCACCACAGCTTCTTCAGCAAGCATACCTACAGCTTCCCCATACTGGACCATTTCATCGGAAGAAGAAGCATCCACTGGTGCAAAGGGGGGCGTAGTGGCTGTGTGGATCTCGGTACCGGGGGACGAAGAGAAATCGACTTCCTGCCGTTGTCGTGCATCCTCCATCACGACATCGTCACTGTCTTCTCCATTGTCTTCTTCTTCATTCTCTCGATCCCATGTTGTCGGGAGACGAGAGCCATCGGGATCGGGTCGGACTCTGGAAGCTGCGGCACTCCGTTCTCTGGCAGTCCTCTCCTTCGTTTGCAATTGTGTAGGTGGGCTCTGGCCAAGACCTCGACGGAGCTTTTCTGGTGGCGTCGCGGCAGCCGCTTTGGATTCCAAATCTTGTTCCAAAACGGATTTCGCCAAAGACTGAGCGTTCGCGGAACTCCTCTGTTTTCGTGCCTCCTCCTTTGCTTCCAGCTCCTCTTGGCTTCGCCTTAAACCTCTATAGGAAGGTACCGGGATGTTGCTGGTATGATTACTTTTACTCTTCATTGTGTCATCTTTGACGTCCATTGTTGAACTTCAGGATATAAATGTATGTCATTGAAGCAAGAAAGTAACAGGAGAGGCTCAGCCAGGCAGCGAGAGATGACGTGGGACGTTTGGGTGGAGAAAAAGAACCATTGATTTACACCCGATCAAGGCACTAAAGTGCCAATCTTCAAAGGCTCCATTCAAGCACCAACCCGAGCTTTTGCTGGCTACGGTACCGGAACGGGTATGGCCAGCCGCCCAGCCGAAGACCAAGGTGTCCTTCACCTGGGCAGTCTTGCTGCCAGAGCCCTCAACCCCTTTAATTGTTTTTCCTGCTACGGTGGTCCCTGCAGGTATAAGGGTAGGGTTAGAATACAAATAAGTCAGCAAAAACTAAATAAGTATCCTAACTAGGATGGCTATTTACATCCATCCTAGTAGGGGGATCTGCTTCTACCAGGAAAAACTCTAAAGCCAGCGAAAGCTATAACTAGTATTCTAGCTAGCTAGGGGTGTCTGATTCTAGCTTGCTATGGGAATCTGCTTCTAGCTAGGGGGGATTAGCTTCTAGCTAGCTAAGCAAAAGTTAAGCACTAGCTAAGCACTACAGGTATCTGCTTCTAGTTAGCTAGCTATAGGGGTATCTGTGCTGATTCCGGCCGTCTGACCGTCCACCGTCAACCGGAATCTAGCCTCCACTCATCTACAGATATCCAGAGACAACAAAGTAGCTTTTCCTCATAATCTTATAACATCATTCGTAATACATCTCTCGCTACCTTTAGTCTCTTCAACAGATGTTATAAAATCCTTCTTCTATACAACCGATACCACCACCGATCCGCTCAACGAACGAAACACACCTCTATCGATCGCTCGCTCGACGAACGCACCTCTATCGATCGAACGGCACGAATCACCTCTATCGAACGGCACGAATCACCTCTATCGATGACTGCACCTCTATCCTCGAAACGTACCTCTATCCTCGAACGGCACAACGCACCTCTACCCTCGAACGAACGCACCTCTATCGCTCGACGAACGCACCTCTATCCTCGAACGACGAACCTCTATCCTCGAACGGAACGACACTGATACTGAACTGATACCGCTACCAGCTGATACCACTACTAGCCAACAAACACCAACACCAACCTAGAATACCAACACCAACCTACAATACCACTACCCACACATACACCACCTAGACACACAGGCCTTAAACGTCCGACAAAGGGAACTAAATATACCCAGTTTGTAGGTGGTGGAGCGAGAATCGTCGATTTCGCATTCATCGTCGCGGTCCATGAGAGGAAGGATTGGTTTGTCGCGCAGCTTAGACTCGAAGCTGGTGTACGCGTCTTTGGCAATCTCCATGGTGAGGAATAGGTTGAGGGTAGCTGAAAGCTATTGTGTTTGTTAACAAAATGCACTACGCTAAAACTGCGCTATCACACTTTATAGTCTCCCGCGGGAAGCCAGATCTACGATCCTGTGATGATTCTCTCTTGTTGATTAGTTTTCATATTTTCTAATCTCTCTCATAACTTTCATCTCCTCAACTCAAAACACTCGAAAGATTTTACACTAGC